TGAGATCATTTTCTCCAGCTGAGATCATTACGGGGGGAGTGATGCAAGGTTCTCCAAACAGTTCTTCGTACATCTCGCGCAACTGAATATGTAGTTTACAAACAATGCAAATTAGTGAATTGCGTGCATGGATGAGAAGGGCAAGGACACATCCACTAAACAGATGATTTAAACGGATACTAAAACTCCACGCAATCCGACAATTCCCTTCCCTCACTTATTCATATTAAAAAATTTTACAAAAGACAATGTACATGGTAATGTAGATGAAAACGACAACCTTATGACGATCCTCTTCGTTCCTCATCCTTTTTATGTACAAGGTATCAAAACAGCTCGACATATCGCCGTTCTAAAATTACTAAACTAAGATGAATCGTAACAGATACTTTGAGCTAGATTTTACCTTCTCAAATAAATGAATCCACCGTAGCAAATCTCTTAGATTGAAGGAAAAGGGACCACCGCAGAGACTGTGTTGAGCGGCAAGATTCATTGTGATGGATACCATTGCTTGAAGGCGAGAGTGATCAATGTGAGCGGCTGCTGGTTGTTCTTTCAAAATGAATAAAATATCCTCCTTTGTAAGATCTTCAACGTAAATCTAAAAAGCATGAATTATCAATGAAATGCGATGAAAGACTTTATTTTGAGTTGGCTAACTAGAGATTCTGTTTCAATGGTGTAATTTAAAGAAACAGAATTGCATTAATGCGACTTTTCAAATTTCAAACATTGCTGTTATTGAACATCTTCGCCAATAAAACCTCTCTATGACGTCCTTTTCCCCAACAGTATTTCTCGTAATCAAATAACATGGAAATCATCTGGGCAATTTGAGGGACAGTTGCTCTTGTTGCTCGAACAGGTATTTGTTACGCTTCCCATTAACTGACACGTTTTTGTCAGTGAAAGGCTTTTGAAGCCTTACTTCACGTTATTTCAAACTGCATAGCTGATAAACTACCATAAACGGAGAATATTATCTGAGACCAAGTAAAGCATGCAGGCAAAGCTAGAGCAGGGAAAGTGTCAGTCCTGGATGAGGTTGGAACAATTCAAATTTCGACAACTACCCTCACAGTAAAGACCTCAGGATAAAATCAGTAATTAATCTAATCAACTGATGCATAATTGATTAAGAGAAACAAGGGGAGCTCGACTTCCAGAATGTAGAAACGGGGAATATAAACTTTTTCAGGCGCATCCACAAAACATCAATACAGGATAAAGCTTAAATAAGAAAGGAAGATGGTTACCCTTTAAGAAATAAGGCACTTACGTTAGTAAAACGATTAACAAAAGACTTGGGAAGAGCCCGTCGATTTCCGCCCTGCGTCCTTGGATTCTGACATGCAAAAAATCGGCAACTGCTGTCTGGTGGAATTACAAAAGAGCGATTCAATTCGGCAATAAAAAGGACTCTTCTATGATCGAAACAGGCATTAAGACCTTCTAACACCGATTGCGATGCAAGGTTCATCTAAAGGAAAGGATGTTCACCAAAAGTACATTATATTAAAAATCATAGCTATTATTTCTTGAAACCTCATCAAGTAGAATCCATTCGCCTCGCTTTATGGCTCGCAGTATTGGACCGTCCTCCCAACGGAAGGAGATGCTTCCATCACTTGTTACCACCGGTACATCGCTACCAAAAAGGTCGGAAAGATCCTAGAATAAAGACGAAAATCGCACAACATAACCGATAAGCGACCGTTGAGGATTATTGCTCAAGCACTACTAACACTAAAAATACTAATCAGTAAATTGTTCTTTATCTATCTCAAAAAGTGAATGACATGAGTGACGAACAGACAACAAATGTCTGCTTCTTTGCTTAGAAACAACAATGACATCAACTACGACCAAAGTGGGAATGACTTCACAATAAGTTGATACCTTAGCAAATAAAGCGGAAATAATTATTGCACTGCTCTATGTAAGAAAAGTATACATATGACATACCGTCTGATCTGAAAGGTTCAATCTGGTGATTGGATGGCCACTTAGCTGCGCTAACGCCATCACAGTGCTCGACTTTCCACAACCTGGGCCCCCTTCCAACAGAATTGGCTTATTTATCAGTAGGCCTCTGTGAAAATAAGGATTGGATGCGTGAACTTTCCTTCTGTTCAAATTCGTGGAAATGGTTTAAGAACTACCTTGCGATGCGATAAAAGTTGGAAACGCATGTTGGTGCACGAAGAGAAAATGCTTTAGGTTTAGAGGGAGTCAGCGGGCCATAAGCAACGGGTAGCGGTCCTATCAGTATTTTATCCATGGCCTCACGCATAACATATGTGGCGGATGTAAGAAATTCCTCATCAGAAGAAAGACGGTGAAGCTATAACAACTGATGATTGGGAAGATGCCAATTTTTTAATGGAATGAAATGCAAAATCTCAAAAAAAA